AAAAGTACCTTATGGGTATTTATAAAAAAATTGTACACAAAGTTTTTTCGGTTAATATACCTTTATAGGTATCTACTATTTCATATTTTGATTTTTTCAAATACCTAAAGAAATTAATTGACACTGTATTATGGATACATATGCACATAACTCGATTACTTTTCCTCATCATATCTATCGAATTAACAGGGTTTACTAGCTCGAGGTTGGGCTGGTGGAGAGATGAGAAGTTGGCCTTAGGAGAATTCGGAAGGTGGAAAAGCCAAAAAAATGTGTACCGAAGAAAACACTCGTAAATAAGAAAATTTTACAACTACAAAGAAATTCAATATACCTACTATTATTGAAATTACTGTTACATGTAGACTATACAGNCTGGTGGAGAGATGAGAAGTTGGCCTTAGGAGAATTCGGAAGGTGGAAAAGCCAAAAAAATGTGTACCGAAGAAAACACTCGTAAATAAGAAAATTTTACAACTACAAAGAAATTCAATATACCTACTATTATTGAAATTACTGTTACATGTAGACTATACAGAAACGTAAGGAAGTTTTAATTATAAAGCCGTTAAAACATTGCCTATCGTTGTCATAATGATGGGAATTTTTCATTTTCATTGGACATAATTCAAAATCACAGCTAGTTTTTTCTTTGTTGTGACAACGAAAGCGTTTTTTTAATTTAAACTCATTTCTTTTTATTGTAATGCAATTTGAAAACACAAATTTTTTAAAAAATACAGTGATTTTTGAAAACGCTGAAATAAGTTGTAAAGAAATAGTTTATAAAATCGCGATCTTTTTAAAAAATCAAAAATAGATTTTTTCCAAAAGTTACGATTTTTTTTATTTTTTTACTAAATCGTATTTTGGCTGGTTTTAAAGTTTTTATTGCTATAAATACGTGTCAAAAATCGTCGACAACCACATAAAACAAATTTTTAGGTCCATCGGGAACAGTATTCTTTTGTTTTTTTGGATAAAAGGTCGTATGTCCTTTTCTGTACCCCTATAAATGTGTGTACAAAATTTCGTGATAGGTTTTAACTGCGACTTCACTCGCATTGACGTAAAAAATAATCGACGATTATATAAAACAAATTTTTTCTATCGCTTGGGAACAATATATTTTTTCTGGATAATAGGTACCCAATGTCCTTTTTTTATACCCCTTGACAATGTGTGTACAAAATTTGATGATGATCAGGTGAGTAGTTAAGGCGTGAAATGGTATCAAACAAAAAAAAGATTCCTTAGCATTTATAATATTAGGATTTTCTTTTTTCTAACAAATCTAACGATTTATAAGGTATCGACTTGTACATTCAGATATAAGAAACAATCTTGTGTATTATAATAGTATAAAAATTCAACAATANCGAAGGCGGGCTGATACATTAGAATAATGTTAGGAAGATATGTTTTAGGACAAACGATGTTTGGCGGGAACAGCTGACGGAAGGCTGAAGCCAGGGCCGTACCTAGCAGTTAAATCCTTTGTTAAATTTTATAATAAACAACAAATATTAACATAGAAATGTTTCTAAGTTTTACTTCTTTTATGAATAAATACACTTTCAACTGTCTAACTATATAACTCCATTTTCTTCAATTAATTATGATTTTATTTCGAAATAATCAGATTGATTAAAATCAATTGATTTAAATCATTTCAACCCTGGAAAACTGTTACAAATTTCACAATTTTCGGACAGAAGATCAGAAATTCGTTGCTTTGTTCTTATCGTTGTTACTATACGCTAACTAAAAAAACGAACACGCCATTTTTCTTCATAATCAATCTCTATTTTTGATTAAGAAACATCTATCTCTAAAGCTAACAGTTTTTTTTAAGCAATTTAAACAACAAGCAACTTTCCCTATCAGAAATCGTAAAAAAAGTAATGTACAGGACACGAGGTAAAAAATACCCACATTAGAGAAATATACTAAACAAAGTGAAAAAAATTCATTTACATTAACAGTGTAAGTGTTGCAAAATCATAATTACTTTCACATGCTGCTTATGTACCAAATAAAGTTAGATTATTTTATTAAAACCCAAAAATTTAGTTGCTTACAATTTTCGATTCGCACTGTAACATTGGTACCATGATAATTTAAATTTAACATACAGCAGGCGACTGTTCGTCCTTGGTGTAGGCAACCCACTACACTGCAAAGTATTCTGAACGTCAGGCTGCAGGAGCACTTCTGAATTCCTTTACTTATTAAAAATTCGGCTTTCAAAACCAACAGTTTAAAATATTAATAATCAAGAAATAAAAACGTTTTTAAGCTGGGGGTTGGAAATGCAAATCGATTTGCCCTATGAATTTTTGTGGCAAATGCAGCAAAACGTAGTGGAACTATAAGCGGCAACCAGGCCTTTTTAGAAAAAAGAAATGGATAAACTGAAGTTCGCAAATTTTAAATAATGGAAAAAGTGGCGGTATTACACAAAGAAGTGATGTATGCTTGTCATCTTATCCATTAAGTTCTAAATTGTTTGTTAACCAAATCGACGCTAGATTAATAAAGTGTAAATACCTGATTTAGCTGTTACTATTTTTAATTGTCACTTACCACTTTATATCATTTAATTCCTTCCTTTAACAATAACACATTGTCTCCATTCCAGATGCTAAAAGACACCTTCGCCTCAGGACTGTTGGTAGTGCTACTTTGCAGAGAAAAAGAGAAACCAATGTTCCATAACACGTCACCCCGAGTTTTTATGCTCCTGTAAAATGAAATATTATAAGAGAGTATTCAGATATAAATAATTTAGCCTCCCTACAATATTAAAGTAATGCCCGATCCTTATCTCTTTTAATATTAAATATATTGTCTACAACTTTTACAGTTCTTTGGGGTAGTGCTAAGTTTTGGAAAGTAACAGAATTATAATGACACTAATACACTTTATAAACACCTTTTTTAACGTAAAGTTTAAGTCACCTCGAATTGATAAAATCATACAAAAAGAAATTATTTCACAAGTCGCATTTATATCCATTAGTGCCTTATTTAAATGAGGCCATTAATGGTAAAAAATTGAATCAGTATTTATATCCTCCTGATGGTGATAGGTGGGGTCTGCTGCTGTTTAATTTGATCCCTTCGTTTGTGTTGTGGAGTATTATCTAATTTTAAATAACCTTAAGTACCGAGAAATTCAGGTAAAAATTTTACTAAAGAATACCGGAGGGCAGACATCAGCTAATGTTGGTTGCATCTTCCTTCGAATGCGTTCTACTTATTACTCCTATGCCGATTATAAAATTTTCACTGCTCATCTTATTTTGACAACCCCGTTTTATAAAAAATAAATAATTTTTAAACCAATTTGGCTTTGATTACACAATTGATTAGAAGTAGGGGAAGAATAGAGAATAGAATTAAAACGGAAAATTTTAAAATAAAATAAACAAATTAAAAAACTGTACCCGAACTGCGGAAAAAGACTGTTTATAAAACTGTAACCCGACTACGGATAAATAAAATAAACTAAAAAGAAATAAACAAGCTAGGTGCTGATTGCCATCATCGTCTTATTGAGTAAAACAAGTCTTTTGATATATCAGACATTCCTGTTTATTCAGTTCTATTCAAGTCTTCTGGCAGTTTCACATTAATAACGTTATAATTCAATTTAAAAATGCCGTGGTCAGCGTAGTCAACTACAAATAAAGCCACTGGAAATGCCTTCAATCAAGAATAAAAGCATGCACGACCACAGCATTTGATCCAATTTTAACGTTATTAATGTGAAATTACCAGAAGACTTCAATAGAACAGTGATATGTAACATATCAAAAGACTTGTCTTAATCAACAAAACTTTAGCAGCAATAGGCACCTTAAGTTGTTTTTTGTTTCTTAATTTATTTTATTAATCAGTAGTTCTAACCCCCTATCTGTCACTGTGAGCTCGAAACGATTAGCTACTTTGCTTCGAGTGGTCGAAACTCACTTTTGTGAACAATTTGTTTAATAACTTTCTTTGTGTTAAAATTGTTTGAAAAATTAAATTTAAAGGAATTGTTTGTAAATAGGTATGCAACACATCGTACACTTCAGCATAAGGAATTGCTGATACTAACTACGTAATACTACTTTGCCCTGTGCTGACAGCACTCATAATTTCTATTATATATAATATTAGTTAAGTTCCAGCTTGTAAACTTTTTCTGTTTTTCTGTAATCGATCAGATTAGTTTTTTAAGTTTTTTATTTTATTAGTTTTCAATAAATCCACATCAAAGAGGGTGAAGTAGGAGTTCGAAATTAATCTACACATCTGACAGATTCATAAACACACAACGGAACCTACTAAAAACAGAAACATAAAAATTGGATAATAGATTCATTTTGTATCATCAACACTTACTAAGAAATAAATACTGGTATTAAATATCCGAAGATCAAATGATAGCAAAACTTGTATATATAAAAACGAAGCCTAAGAAGTTAGGGCCGCGAAAATTCCTATTTACTCTCTTAGAAATTAAGAAAACGTGTATTGTTTTTTTAAAATAAGTCAGTAAGAGGTGAAACATCGGATGAAATTTTATACGTTGTTTTTGTAGATATGAAAACTGACACTTAGACTGACTGACCAACCAAAATTAAATAAAAAATAACGATAAAAATGAGGACTAGTTTATCAAAGAGTTAGCAAGGATAACAATAAACAGCAAATACTGTTACAATTCATCATTAATTTCTTTAATTTTGTAAGATAGTTTTCTTTTTTTGGTAATTTTTTACATTAGTTGACATTGGAATTGAGACATGAAGTTTAGTCAAATAGGTAGTACTGACCAAGTAGAATCGTGTGGTAGCATTAATTCCATGCGGAAACCAATGTAGCTTGAGATACAGGCTCGTAAAGTTATTTAATCGGAAGAAATTTCGATTGGTACGGTCCTGGCTGCAGCCCTTCGTCAGCTGTTCTCGCCAAATATGCATCGAGTTTGCTTAATGCCCCTGCCCGCCGAAGGCGGGCTGATACATTAGAATAATGTTAGGAAGATATGTTTTAGGACAAACGATGTTTGGCGGGAACAGCTGACGGAAGGCTAAAGCCAGGGCCGTACCTACCGGAATTTCCTCCGATTAAGAAAACTTTAAGGGCCTGTATCTCACTCACATTCATTTTTAAACAAATAATAAACAAAATTCTAGTAAATACTACTACACTACTTCACTTGGTGAGTACTACCTACCTGACTAAACTTCATGTCTCAATTCCAATGTCAACTAATGTAAAAAATTACCCTTTTTTTTTAAGAAAACATTTTGTCTGATAACTTCAGGTTCCTGTGATAATTAAACGAAAATTTCACAACTACTATCTCTAAATAATGTTAATAGTAGATACTTACCAACTCATTATCATAAATCTTGCGTTTAGCAACAACACGTTGCCTCTGTTTCCAGGCTAGTTTTACTTTTATGCTTGCTTTAGGTATCCCAACATCCATTGGATAGAACCAATAAATCCAGCAAAAATACCACAGCAAACGACCTGTTTTTTTTTCTCTCTTATCGGAAAACTGTAAAAATGGACAAAATAGAACAAAGTAAGTACATAAATAAAATATTAAACAGAGCATACAATAAAAAAATCCATACTTCAACCGTTCCGAACACAAGCACTTAGAAATTTTAACACAAGACACAAGCAAAGCAAAACAACATAGAAACATAGATAATAAATCTACAAAGGGTAAACAAAAAATCACAAAACGCCACAAAGCATAGATTGACATAGACATAGATACTCACCATAGATTACATATAGATATTCACCAATTGAACTGCATACTACAGAATACTTAATTTTTGATATTACCAATACGCATGCGCCATAGATAATAAAATAATCATAATGATTATAGTAATGCCATTGAATAATTTAGTATCATTTTTAATCATTACTAGTAAATATAAAAATAAACTCTGCTTACCATAATAGTTCTATCTTCGAGCACAAATAACACGCAATCAATTGGCTTCAATTAATTCATATTTTTAGTAGTTTTTGAACAAATTGACATTTAATTTCTACCTGCACCGAAACAATTTTCATTTTTTTTATAAGAACTAATGGATGCACAACTTTGATACTTACATATTTAAAACCCGCAAACGACGCATTTTTTGGTAAAGTTTGAATCAGTATATTATTTATATTGAGTGCCATTCACACGACTAATCTATGACTGGTGCCAACCATAGATAAGATGAAAAATAAAAATTTAAACTAGTCGTAGTCATAGATATCCTTATCTATGGATATATCACGCTCTTGTAATGCCTAAGTACCCGCTCACCGGAGCAAAAAAAAATGAATGTGTCTGTTGCTAGCGTTTTCAATTTTTTGAAACAACAATCTAACCGCGTTTATTATTTTTAAACCTACATAGAAATAAAAAAAAGGGTATATTACCTAGCAAAAACAGTAACAATTACAGGTTCATATTCCTCTAAACAACAAAGAGAATGGACATGATCACGACAATACTCACTCTTTTATGCTTGTAGTGTTGGTTGGCTCTTCCTATCGTAACCTTATGATTCTAAAAAATTTTTTCAAATTTTGTTTCAATTTGAACCCATATACGTTAATAATATTACATTAATTTTTGTAAAGAGGAGTTGGACCGTGAGAAAACATTGACTTTATAGCTTTATACTATATTATTATTACCATTATTATATGATAACTATTAAAGATTAAAGCCAAAAATCATAGACTAAACACACGACAGGCAACTACATGACTGAGTGTTGCACTCGCTCGTACCCTGCTCGTACGCTGTGCAATAAGGCAGTGCGCATCAGATTTACCACGTTAGCAAGATTTTGCCTACATTTTGTGTTTGACTACTAAAAATACTGAAATTGATGAGCGGTAATTTATCACGCAGCGTACGAAACACGTCTTCTATCCTTGTTTAGTTATGATGCTTGTATGGATGCTTTTTAGACTAATTTGCTTTTGTTAAGCTATTGGTCCTAAATTTTCTTATCTACGTAGCAAATCGGATGCACACTGCCTTATTGCGTAGATACTGAGAACAACTTGGTGACGCTCTTAACTCTTAACGTCTTAGCTCCCAACGTACTCTTATACTTGTTACTAGGGCTAGTCGTTAGTGTTATGTCTAGTTTTCTTGGTTTGTTGATAACGAATTTTTCCTTTAATAGTTATTTTAATGATTGAAATGTTGAGTGTGAAGTTGGCAAATATATGTTTTATTCTTTTTTCAATTTCAAATCTCAATTTCAATTGCTGAACCCATATTATCATACTATTATTTATATGCATAAAAAGAATTGGAAATAAAAGTTGAAGTACATTATTATTAAATAACAGTTGCGCACGAAACCGCTTAAACAATTCCCTCTTCCAAACATTCTGATAATTTTTTAATACAGTTCGAAATAAAGAATATTGCACCTATAAATATTAATTCCGCATAAAATTTGTGTCAAAAGTATAAATATAAAAATGCTTAACCAAATATAACCGCAACTTTTCAGCTGAGAAAATCAGATATTTNCATTAATAAAATTTTCTTCTTTGTTTACATCGGCCATTTTATGTTGTTTTTGACAAACGACAACAACAAAAAACTGTCACCAACATGAAAACGCTTAATGACATTTTAACTTTTTAACCCTATGATTGACACCAAATTCAAAATGACAATTTAAATTTTAGCGCCAAATAATAATGATTAAGTATTTTTTATTTTTTGATAATAAATGTGAATACTGTAATGGATATTAATAAATTATTTTAATGCAATAATTTTGTTATTGCAAATTGGAATTTTTAAAATACCTAAACAATTTCTTAGGAATTTTATTTAATAGGTATGTTTCTGATCGTGAGTACCATTCTGTGAGTTATGTCTATAATAATTAAATCATAGATAACCTAAATAATAAACTTTTTATTACATTTTCATTATTTAAAAAAAAAACATTATTGGGAACTTTTTAAAACAAGTAATATAATATGCCTAGTAATCTATACGGTATAAGTAATATATTTTATGAGTAAAGCTGCTGAAAGCTAGAAGGTATACAAATACGTGATATTTTACAAAGTACACGTAAACGTCATGCGGCGGGAATGATAAATACTTATAATTTTATCTTTACAAAGCATTTTTTATCCCCTCGCATCTTACATACGATAGTTTTACAACTGTAAAAAAATTATCCGGTATACTTTGCAATTAAGATAAAAAGCAGTTTTATTATTAGTCCACGAAGCTTTCTATAAATGAATATGTACCAATTGAATTTGAATGAGTCATTTTTGAAATTAATTTCGCAATCGTTGATTGGCTTATTAAATTGGCTGGGTGGATAGTGACAGGCTTGACTATTCGCACTTGATCATTGACTTGACAGAAACAAAACTATTATTGAACTCATAGTTTGTTTTTCACAGTATAGGCATAACAATGGATATGCCTTTGCTAAATAAAAATATTTATACTTAGATATGGTTTAATAAATAGTTTTTGCACAGTTTCCATCGAAGATAGTTTTGAGATAAATTTAGTGTGTATTTAAGAATCCTTGAAGTTGTTATCAATAATACTATTTATAAGTAGGTTGACATATTGTATATGTACTACTTAGCAGAAATTATTTTCAGGTAAATACTTATTTTTGCATTAAGTAATCCTTTGAAAAACAAAACAAAAAATGGAAGGCGACGAGGGGAATATGGACCCATGTGAATGCATTGGTCATGAAATGGCTATGAGAAGGCTATTAAATTTGGTATGTGACTACATAAATTAATAGAAATTACTTACTTTTTATTATATTATAGTTAAGGCAAACCCAATCTTATTGCACAAACTCAGAATGCTTCCAGGATGGTAAGTTGTTATGATTTCTTAAAATTAACTTTTAAAAGGAACAGTGACATACGTACTGATTGATTTTGGATGTTTTACTGAATACTGTTAAGGATATTAGAACACTTGACTGCAAATTCCTGTACTTATTGAAACACATAAAAATATTTTTTAGTTGTCAGCCCTGGAAATCCAAATCAAGATAACAGTTTCATCTTGTTTGGATTATTCTTGGCTTTTGCAACATTAATGTATTTTCTACGTCCAAGAAATACATTGGAACGCTCAATTAAACCCAGCACGAATAATGTAAGTACTGCTTTGATATTGCAAATAAAAATAATGATTACAAAATTTTATGTACAAAGGATCATGATGGTTCCCCCCCTCCTAACCCACCATCACCACTTCTGTGATGCTAGAAAAATCGTTGCCCTACTCCCCATACAAAAGTATTGCTTGCCAATTATAGTTCTGAAAAACGTCATGAATGTTAAATAAATGTTAAATGATTTTATTTTTATAATTTTGTGGTTTTTGAGAAAGGTTTTTTCTCAAAAACTACATTTTTATAATGTTAATCCAATTAAATGTTTATATAATTTTTGCAACGTACTAATTCCGTTTTAGACTATAAAATTTAAAGCAAGCAGTATTTTACTGATATTATTATTATTAAATGTGCACTTTTTGGGATATGGTGCTATACATTCCTTATTTTTAACTCGATGGAACTTACTACATGTATTAATTGCATTGTCATTTTACTACAATTAAATCCTACTCTGAATGTAATTATGTAAAATATGTTTAATGCATGTATTTATTATGTGTAATATCAATTTGTTGATTATTTCAAAATATAAAATAAAATTTAATCATTACTCGTCATCTCTTAAATGAATAAAATCATTTCAGTGTCCAATAGTGTAGTTGTTTTCAAATACTAAGATTGGAGATAACTTTTTTTTGGAAACCATTCAAGAAAAAACTAAAAATAAGAATTAGATCATAAAACCACTAAAAGTGACGAGCTTTTGAAAACATCTTTGCTAAAGTCTAACTGTTTAGCGATCAATTGTAAAGATTATATCAAGTAAAGGACGAAGATTTTGTTATTCTTTACTGGTAACACAAAGAAGAAACCAAAAACATTGTTAGTGGATATATCTAAATATTGAAAATAGTAAAAAAAGATTTGCTGCAATAGAAGATTACTTAACATTTAATGACTATTATAGTATATCAAAAAAAATCTTTTTAGAACTTGTAGAAAAATTACATACAAGTTAGCATGTCTCAACGCGTGGGTTTAGGGTTCTGTCATAATCGCCTAGGTGGGAGCCGAGCACCCTAACTGAAAAGTACCTGCCAAATGGTTTTTTTATCGTTGGATCAAGATCGCGTTGTCTTCAGTGGAGTACGAAGCCTCATACCAAAATTGTAAGAACAAATAGAAAACTAAAGGAAAATCGTAGCAAAGACTTCTGTAATTTATTATAGGTAATTTAAATTAATATGGTATTGATAAGTAAATTCTACGTGAAGACTTTAAATACATTTCTAATGAAATAGATGAACTAACAATAAAAACGAGTTTATTGAATTGTATAGTTTCCAAATTAAGTATGTATGCACTATTGCCTTAACAAAGTAAAGTGCCTGAATTAACGTTCCTATTTTGCTTTATGCCTACATAAAACATCACATTTTGAAAACAATAGTACTTGTTTTGTTTTATTCACCAAATTAAATACAAACTCGTTAATTCTTCAATTAATACTTACTAATTATTTTGATATAAAATAATTACCATTAAATCAGAATTTATGGTCCTACATTTAAGCAGCCAAAACGTTATTTACATTTTTACATAAAGTAATGATTTAAAATGTATTGCAAGAATTAAAACACCAAATAACGAAAATCACATAGGTGCATAGTTATAATTTTCACAGTAATAAAATCGAACATTTCGAAAAAAATTAACTTCGCCCTAGGCGGAATGTTTCCTGAGACACAATAGAATTAATTACTCAAGCTAATAAAATTAAAATTAAGTTTATAAAAAACTTCTGGCTCATTTTTGTACTGACATTTCGATTTTATACAAATGTCCACCTACCAAAGGGACAAAAATAATGTAGAACTAGGATCACGTCAAGAATTTTTTTCCTGAAGATTCTTCAACGTTTTACGAACTTTTTGTAAGACTTCTGTCATCTGTTCGTATTTGCCGGTCGAGTTTGGTAAATTTTCAAAATTCATAATGTCCGAAATATTTTTGGAAAAATTTTCCGGTTTCGGTAATCGTGAATAAGGTGAAGCTGTTTTAAGAATTGGTGTACCGAAAGCAATTGTTTTAATCATTTTTGATGAACTTGTGTCACTTGAAGCACTTGTATCCGTAAACTCGGAACAGCTCAACGAAGTTTCAGTTTGCGAACTATTTGTCGTCTCAGTTTGCGAACTACTTGTCGTCTCAGCTTGCGAACTGCTTGTCGTCTCAGCTTGTGAACTGCTTGTCGCCTCAGTTTGCGAACTGCTTGTCGTCTCAGCTTGTGAACTGCTTGTGAACTGCTTGTCGTCTCAGCTTGTGAACTGCTTGTCGTCTCAGCTTGCGAACTGCTTGTTGTCTCAGCTTGCGAACTGCTTGTCGTCTCAGTTTGCGAACTGCTTATCGTCTCAGTTTGCGAAAGTGAAGTTATACCCGATATTGAACGCCTTCCTATCATTTCCATAGAAATAGATTCTGTCGGTTCTTCTAATGTATGATGGGTTATTTTGCCGTTTTCGCTAACACTTACATTCGTTATTTTCCTCATTCTCATTTCAATAGTAACTTCTTTTTCTTTACCTACTGGCATTCTGTTATCTTCAGAAGATATTTCATCTACTGTTATACCGCTTGTTGTACTGCCATTGGTATTGTCATTCAATTCGGCCAAAAGCTGATTTTTCTTTGATTCCAACTCGGTCAAGGATGGCAATTCAATCTCTTTTTCAATTGAATTCTATTTAAACATAGTAAATTTTATTATTTTATCTGAATAGCAAACAAATTTCATTGTTTTTAGAAACGAAGAAAATGGCCGGAAGTAATAGAAGGGAGTGATTAGATAATCCAGTCGGACGTTTAGTGTCGATAACTAAACAATCAACGAACCACTTTGTCATTGTAGTTCTATCACACAAAACCGGCAATCACTTGACGACGCTGAGTGCAAATTTGTCCTCAGAATATCCTCAGCCCATCAAAATTTTTAAAAATTCCAATCAAAACCTAATAAAAGCCATTTTTGTCCTTTTTTCAAAGATACCTATTTTTGTCGCTCAATTAGAATCCGTCCTCAGAATTGCCCTAACATATCAAGATCAACACCGAAATATTTTAACTCCAAAATCCAAATGTTGCCAATTTGGCTTGTTTGGATTTGTCATTAAACTATTTTGAATTTTTAATATTTTAGGGCAATTTTGGAGCTAGATTTGAGATAGATGCATCGAAAATAATTCCCCCCTTGTGCACCAATACCAAACAAACTAACTTAGCATTAATCGCATTTTTAAGTTAAGACATATCAAAATCTTATGTTTTATTTAGCCTGTATCAATTTTTTTGCGACTAGGGGGTCGTTCAGGAACTCCTTTAATCAATTTTAAGTTATCATATGCCTTTTTTGATATCTTAGCTACTCTTCGAAAGTGCGGATTATCAATCAAAGCAATAGGAAACTTGAGTTGATCTAAAAGGACATCTAACATTTTCAAAAGAATATATCTACACTAGACATGGACGGGTAACCGGTTTACATCTGACACATATTAGGATCTGGCCGGGTAATAATTTAAGTAGAGGAAAAAACAGCAACAATAATGTCTTACAAAACCATACACTTTCAATTATGAAGAGTTTGAGAGAACCGCTGCATGTATACGGTCACTAGAATTTTTGAAAATTTATAAAATGTGTACAGTAACGCTTCACAATCTCGTACATATATAAAATTGTTTTTGGCTTAAATTTGTTAAATACATAATTTAGTATCACGAATATTATTTTATCTTTTTCTGTAATATAAACTGTAGGATTTTATTCTCCATCAGTTTCGAAAAATTTTTTTTTAATATTATAAACTATAAATGAAATTATGAGTGCTGTCAGCACAGGAAAAGTAGTGTTATGTAGTTAGTACAGCAATTTCTTATGCTGAAGTGTACGATGTGTTGCACACCTATATGCAAATAATTCCTTTAAATTTCATTTTTTAAATAATTTTTAACACAAGGAATGTGATTAAACAAACTGTTCACAAAAGTAAATTTCGAGCACTTGAAGCAATGGTGCTAACAGTTTCGAGCTCACAGTAACTGATAGAGGGGAAAAACTAATTATATTTACACATAATAATATACGTAACAATCCGATATGGCCAGTTAGTATAGGAGAACGCTATGTCATTACGGTGTTAACTATATTTTTTCTATCTCTTCGGAGACACTTTGTCCATTCTGCCCATGCTTGAGAAATCTAATATAATAGCAGTAGGTATGCAGTTGTATGCGCACTTTGTTGGAAAAGCTTCCACTTATAAAAACTGAGCATACAGGAGTATTACATATATGCGATTTTACTTAAAATCACTTTACGAATAGAAACAAATTAACTCTAGTTTTAAGAATATTTGGAGTTGAAAATTAACGCGTTTTTAAATCAAGACTGAATGAATATTAGAAAATTTACACATTATGAAATTGTTCATTTGATCATTAAACCACTTTACTGGGAAATTTCATTATAATCGAGGAAACAGCATATAAGCGAAGAATATTACCGTTTTAAATAATTTTGTCCAACTGTTAAAATATATTATTAAATTACTTACAACTATCATATCCTTTACTGGAGAAAGATCTTCTTCTGGCATAATGCTTTCAAATTCCATATCTTCTGTGTTCAGGTTATCCTGCTCTCTTTCTTCTAATATTTTTATATGTTGCAACATAACTTCTTTACTAAACTTCTCTGAATAGGGAGGTACACCAAAATCTCGAAACTCCTACATTCATTAAAAATGTAAAAAAACGAAGTATATTATTCTCTTTACTACTTACATCTCTAAAACCTTTATCCAATGGCACATTAAAACCGGGATAATCAATTATTTTTTCAGGATCAACAAAAGGTCTTGTTTTTTTATTTGTAATAACATTTTTTCCATCAAAATCATACACTGTCAGATCAGAATGTACAATTTGTGCTTCTTCTAACCAACCTGGAGGATAACCAAGTCGTCTCATTCGGTAAATATAGTCTGGCAATTGATCTCGATGCAGGCCTAATGCTTTTCTTAAATTGTCCGTTAACTGACCCGGTTTTAAGTGGGAATACTTCTGATCATCTTCAAGATGATAGCGTCTATGAACAAAATGAGCAATTATTTTACATACTGAGCATTGATAACAATTTTATGATATGAAAGAATAAAATTAATTTAGCAGAATTGGTTAAATGCAATTTGGCAAGTCCAAAGTTTTCAGAGATCCATATTATAGATACATTACTTTCTTAATAGTTTAGGCATATTTAGTTGTTTTTATAAGTTATCTTCATGCAGAATGAATAGTATTAGAGACAATAGCAGTTTTTGAGATAAACCTTGTAGAAAAATATCTAAAAGCTAAAATAGGGTAGTAGTAAGTATCAGAAATTAAACAGAAAGTTTATTTCCGCTCTTTGTCACCATACCTGTTGAAATATTTTACATAAAATTAAGAAAAACATAAAAGTATGGCTTTCTTATAAATAACGAACCTATGAAAGATATTCCTAATAATTATTTTTTTTAATACTTCTGATGTAAATGTTTTTTGAGTGAGTCAATATAGGTTTAATACCTATTATGCTAAATGTTATGAAAGTAACACTTAATAAAAAAAAATTTCCCTAATCTATCTATTACAGTTTAATAATAGTTCAAGTAAAAAATAAAAAAAGTAAGGTCTGCAGTTACCGATGACAGACAAAGTAATGTATAGATAGGTATAATTTCTTAAGCACATCAAACTTCTGCAAATGAAGAATATAAAAGACAACAATAAATAAAGTCCAAAAAATATAGAGGTGGAATTAAGCTCCATATATAGTATCACAGTTGTATCCAATAAAAATGTACATATCAAATGATAATTTACAACAGATATAGTAAACATTTGTAATAAATATATTAATAATAAAAATTTTACAAAGAATTCAGACAATTTGTGCCTCCTAGTAATAAATCTACTGGAACTCTCTTGTTAAACTGTTATTTAAATATCAATAAAATCATGCATCAACGAATTGTAAAAATATGTCTTACCCATTTTTAGGTGTATTTCTAAATTTCAATCTGGCATGATTGATTTTAGCATTATCACGAGGTAAAGGACAATCTTTTAAATTATGATTTTCACTGCAATTGAAGCAACTATTTGCAGCAGACACACATAATGTAGAATCACTTGCATTTTCATCATTCTTTTCAGTAACATTTTGAATATTAAATTTACTTTCATATTTCAATATTTTCTCTCTTTGAGTAGTTAACGATGGCGTGGTATCAAGTACAAAAAAACCATCACCTTCATCTTTTGACTTCTTCCGCTTTCGTTTCTTTTTCTTAGATATCTTTAGTTTATCTAAATCAGGGCTATTATTAATAGACTCCGTTTCAAAGAAGTCAATACTAAAATTAAGCTTCTCTTCTTTAAAGGTGAATCCCATTGTGGTCAGTAACGTTAAAAGTATTTCACTTAATTGTTCATAAGCCTCCGCATTTCTAAATTGCAGTTTTACAAAGGGCTCACTTTTGAGGTTACTTGCCTTATCAACATCACTTTTCTCAACCTCTGTTTTCTCGCATTTAACTTGAATGGGTAATTTTATATCTACCATAAGGTCTTGATTATCCTCAGCATTTTTGATAACTGCGTTATTGAGGTTACTTGCATCGTCAACATTATATTCCTTTTTCTCTACTTTCTCACATTTTACTTGAATAGGCAATTTTATGTCTTCTGCTGTAACCTCTTGATTACCTTCAGCATTTCCGACAACTGCATTACTGTCTGTTGTCTCCGATAGAGAATTATGAAATTCAATTACCTCATTTTTCAATGAATTAACATTTTCTATTTCCATGTTATCTTCTTTATGTGATGACAAGGTAGTTGTATTCTCAGAAATTAAACTATATACTGCAATATCCATGTCATTTTTTCCATTAATAAAATTTTCTTCTTTGTTTACATCGGCCATTTTATGTTGTTTTTGACAAACGACAACAACAAAAAACTGTCACCAACATGAAAACGCTTAATGACATTTTAACTTTTTAACCCTATGATTGACACCAAATTCAAAATGACAATTTAAATTTTAGCGCCAAATAATAATGATTAAGTATTTTTTATTTTTTGATAATAAATGTGAATACTGTAATGGATGTAAAAAAAATTTAACTCTTCTAAAGTGAAAGTTTTACACAATAATGTATCGATTTTAACTAATCGATGTAATACAAAGGTATCAACTTCAGAATGCCTTTTAAAAAAACAGAATTACTTAAATCTCGGTCAAAGGAACTCGAAAAATTGTCCGAAAAGAATGGTTTACGCCATTCTATATATAGTATTGGTAAAGATAAATATAAGGGTGAATGGAAAAACAACCTGAAAGATGGTAATGTACTTACTGTACAAATTGCGTTTATTTTCTTTTCTACGTATATTAAAAAATATTAACAGGTAAAGGAGTTTACCTAAGTAGGACCAAACAACTGTATGAAGGAGACTGGGCAGAAAATTATCGTCATGGATTCGGTATTTTGGCTGTACCATTAGAAAAAATATTTATACTTAAATATCGTGGAGACTGGAGAAGAGGATTGTACGGTGGGTTTGGCGAAGAACACTACCCTGATGGCTCGTATTATATTGGTTATTTTAAAAATAGCAAAAAGCATGGTGAAGGTGAGATGTGGTATGCCGATGCTTCTTACTATTATGGTGACTGGAGAAGAGGAGGACGACACGGGTTTGGTATGTTTATAGAACCGCCTATTGAGCCTAGAGGTAAAAGTTACGGTAACAGATATGAAGGACAGTGGGCTAATGACTTAAAACATGGTAAAGGTAGATATTTTCACCTAGACAGTGGCCAAATGCAAGAAGGAGTTTGGAGAGAAGACATATGCATTTTCAGTGTAATGATTGACATCTACTTTAGACAGAGCGCAGTCATTCCTTCACCTTACCCTATTCCTCCGGTAAGCATAACTTTTATGAAATCATCGGTACGGCCGGTAATGTTAAAATACAAATTTTCCTATATCGCTTAAAATTCTAAACCAATAAATCCACAATAGATACCATTACAAAAAAAAAGGGGGGGGAAGTTAGGAACAATGATTCCCCTCCTCAAAAATTTTGTCGCAAATATGAGAATATTTAAAATTTGGTAGTCAATTAAAAACTAACTTTCTATTAACAAACTCTGAAGTACACAAGAATTGACTAAATATATTAGTCACAATTTATGTAAATGTTTTGCGACATTGACTGTGAAATATAACCATTATCATGGGATTGTCAGTCTTCCTATTCTAAGTCAGTCTTCGAATTTTCCAAAAAACTACAACATCCCACGTGATTAAATATTTGCGAATAGTAATTTAATTTACTTACCTCTATTTCTGTTTTTAGTATGTTTCTCCTCCTCCTATTTTTCTTTCTCCTTTTTGACTTTCATAGAGCCCTTTGTTTTTCTATACACAGTATTTCCATTATCCTCCTGTAACACCACATCTGAAACGCTTCCAACTTTTTCTCGTCGCGCCTACCAACCACTTTGCACCCATATATATATATATATATACTACATGTATACACAAACTGTTGAACCCCCTTGTTTGTCGTGAAGTGAGTTACCTCCCAAAAGCTTCATCGACGATTGTTCTAGTACAACCCAAAATATCGGCCAATTTTTGTTATTGCCACAGCGTGGAGTCTGATGTTGTCATGAAGAAGCAGTTAACTTCAAATGGGAATGCCTCGTTTTTTTGATCGGTAGGCAATTTGAACTCAAACCAAGAAGTTTACAATAGTAGGTAGCATAAACTGTCCTACTTTTCATGCAGTCTTTGCCTTAACCACGGCTCCACCGCCGCACTTCTGCCACTTCATACTTCGATTCTGCGAGTTTTTCCCCAGAACTGTGGGAGTAAAAGATGCCGAATTTCAATAGCACTAACATTTTCGTCTGCCTCCTTCCTAGGAAGTCTAATTTTTTTATCTGTATATATATATATATATGTACATATCTCTGTTCCTAAAGCTGTCCTGCTTTTAATAACATCAATTGCACCATGCGAAAACACACACGTAGGAATACACCAACTAGAAAGTGTATAAGTTGAGTTCACCCCTGTTGCAATCCGTCTTTACTATTAATCGCACCTTCGCTATGTAGTAGAAAATGTAGCGGTGTCAATGTACATCCTTGTCTTATTCCATCCCTTATTTTTAACTTCACCATGTTGCGGTTCCAATTTTTCAAATTTTGTAACTGCGTGTTGCTCCTTATACAAATTATATATCACTCGTCTTAAATGATATTGTAATAATTAAATAAATGTCCGTTTTTTAGCACCAACTTCAAGATATTGATGGTGTCTGTAATAAAAGAGAAGCAGAAGCGTTGGAAAATGCTGACGAACCTTGTTCTATATCATCATTTACACATTCTTCTAAATCGACGGTAATGAGAAAAGAAACAGCGGCATCATAACGCACTGTAAACTAGTTAGATAAATATACAATTTGAGAATTAGTATAAATTAAAATAAATATCACTCTAAAGAAATTTTATTGTGTATTTTCTCCGTCATAAAAAAAATATTGCCATAATTGCAGACTCACAAATAATTACCTACAGTTACATAATTTACAATAAGGTTTATGATCACAGATTCATTTATAACGTCTACTTTTTTTATTTATTAGTATAAATTTTTCAAGATACTCCCATAAATAACCAATTGTATATTATAATCTTACCTATATAAACATTGTCCTTTAACTGTTAGATTGGATATGTTAATATCTATTATAATAACGATAAATAAAATAATATAGCACGTAAGATAAAGGTAGAAGATACCTAAAAACGAATTTTATTACAAAGGTAGTTTGGATCACCCGTTTTTTTAACCACATTTTTTGAGTTCTGTATAAAAATTTACTATTTTTGAAGTCTTATTAAGAAGATTCTTCAAACACTTCAAAATTTTTTGTTATCTAAAAACAATTATTCTCTCAATTTAAACATGCTTGTCGTAATAATCGNAAAAACACTTGGTTTTAGTTAAATAAAATTGTAAAGACAATTTGACGATTGTTTTTTATTATGAGAGAATGACCTAATAACCGAAAATTGTATATTTTAAATAAACAAAATCAAAGGCGCATAAATAGGTATAAGAAATTTGTATTTATGACCAAAGCTACCATACTTTTAAACAAACAAAAAAATTTTCAACAAAAATGGTTTAATTTAAAAAAACAATCGATATTCTTTCAGAAGTTACATTAATAAAAAAATAATGATAAATAGCATCTAAACGAAAATATCTCTTTAATAATAAAAATTTTGACATACTTACTGTTAATTTATTATAATAAGTAATTATTGCACTTAAAAAAAATACACCGTATTAAAATTTTCATAAAAAAAATTACCATATAAAAAATACATGTATACCTACATGATGGTATGTAAATAAAAAAAAATACCATCGATAAAATGTATGCGTATACTTTACCGTAAGTATCACAATTTCAAAATATTTTCAGTAATAACCGCAGTTCGCAGAGCATTATCAGAACTTCGATTTGATCACAACGATGGAATTATTCAGAGTGGGAATTATATTAAAACCAAAATACAAATTACAGAGGAATTTAGTGTAACAACGAAAGCAGAATTTTAATTAAAAAAGTGGCGGTGAAAATTTAATCTAAAAATATTTATGTTAACGTTAAAATTTGAAGTTTATTTGGTAATTTAATTGTTAATATTTTTCGATAGCCACAATCTATGTATGTGGTACTGTTATATGTTTACTTGGTGAATTTGTAATCTAGCTGGAAAGGATACAAATTGACGGCTATGCTTAGGATCATAAGGTTGCGATAGGAGAAGACAACACTTACGAAAGGAAATACATGCCAATGATAATGCTCACAAAGTAACATTTGGACAGTTTGTATTTAATCCAATATCCAGCTAATTTACAAACTAGCCAAGTAAGTATATTAACTGCAACAAATACAGTAGCTAGGTAAACTGAGAACGTGGTAGTCGATCGTAATTAGTTTAGTAGAAAATGCGTACTCCATATAAACTAGGCAACAAATTTGTATTAACCAATAAATTTAATTACTGCATTAATCGGAAAGTAAATAAATAACAGAAAATTCTTTGACTATAAACAGTTTAAAAAATAATTAACAAAAACTATTCAAGATTAAATTTCTTTTCAATTCATATACAAGTTTCATACATTGATTAAAAACATAAGCGAGTTATTTTTCTACTTGCCTTACAGTAGATAAAATAAAAGCGGTTGCCATGGTTAATCTTTAATCTGCTTAATATATGTACCATCTGTAGTCACTTAATACCAAGGCCATAGACTAGCATCGCTCTGATTGGTCCACGCATACGGCAGCCATGTTTCTCTTAGGTGCTACTAAACGTAATACCAGTAAACGAAGACTATTTTTGTTTAAAGTTAAAATCCGTTTTTAGAAAACAGAAAACTTTACTTAAACAAAATTACATGATGTCTTATAGACCAATACATTTATTTAAGTGACAAAAAATCCTTGTTGAGGGTATTTATAATTTTTGCTATACCTTAAGAAATGTACTAGATACGTCTGACACGAGCAACATGCATACAACTGTTCGTTATATTAAAACAATAGACAACTTGTTTGCACAATAGTTACATTATCCACCCTCGTTATTGACAACTGCGGGATTTGTTGATATTGTCAGCAAGTGATTTGTTTTAATGACATCAGGGAACCCTCAATTGGCTTCAAACAATTTAAAATTGGACGAATATAACGCTGCCATTGACTTTTTGGATACATTTTTAAATTTGCAATATTATATATAAAAGAAATTATGAGTGCTGTCAGCACAGGGCAAAGTAGTATTACATAGTTAGTATCAGCAATTCTTATGCTGAAATGTAAGATGTGTTGCATACCTATTTACAAACAATTCCTTCAAATTTAATTTTTCAAACAATTTCTAACACAAAGAAAGTGTTCACAAAAGTGAATTTTGATCACTAGAAGCAATGGTGCGAACAGTTTTGAGCTCACGGTAACTGATAGGGGGGAAGAACTTGTATATAGTTACAAAAATGTTTGGAAACCTAGACAAAGTGGTGTTTGCATATCAACTCAAACAATTTAGGATCAAACATGCGCAAGTAATATCGGTAACTGATTACAATTTCTCAATACCTCAGAAACGTTTTCTCATCCAAATATTTAGAAGATGAAAGAGAATTTTTATTAGATTTTGGAGATATTTGAACTTTTTATTCAAATGAAACAAATATTCAGAACGACCTTTAACAGATTATTGCCATTGAATTATAATTTAGAAACAATAGTTCAAACTATTTGTGAAAAATATCGATTTTTCTCCTGTAAAAACCTGCCATAATTAGATACAATTTTAATGAAGAGACTTGTCATATTTCGTTGAAATATATTCTCAAAAAATCTATTAAAAATAATAAAAAGTCTTCTTTAGGTAGCAAAACTCAACAAGCACATACTACATTAGTAACTTGTCAAGTTTATTTTTCGATTTATGTAGTCATTCTTTAATAAACTACTTTTAAGTAAATGTCTTATTATATTTCACATATATTGCATAAACGCACCAGCTACCCTAAAGGATAAACATGGTCGCTACTAGCCGTATGGTCAGATTCTTGTTATTGAGCGGCTCAAATTACATCTTTTTATTGGCTGAAAAGGGCCTAAGCAAACGGTCTATAAAGGCTTCAGGTAGAGGAGTTTCAGTTGGTAGGACCTCCCTGGGAAACACCAGCTAGTAATACGAATGGCTGGGTATATTTGGAAGATTTCCAATCTACCCCGACAAAAATTTGTTGGTTAATTTATTGGAACAAACATTTTCTACTACCTTAGTCGTTTTTTCCTTTTTTAGAGTGATACAAGTGAAAATTTCGAAAAATTGTATATCCTCAAATTTGTACTTTGGTTTCATTTTTACGAAAAAATATCGTTTTTCTTTTCAAACAATATGCACACCCGATATCAGATCACCTACACCGTTATTCCTAGTTCGTTCAGCATCGCCCTGTTCAATCTGTTCCTTCAAAAGTTCTAGTTCCCTAATACCTGACACTGTCATCTCATACTTGTGCGAAACTAAAGATCTATAGAAATGCACCGCGAACGCCAAAAAGACAAACAAAACAGGAACAAGTACTATACTGGCTGACCATGCAGCCGTTTGATTGATATCAAAGAATTTCACCCAACACAAAATCGCAATCTCCGCCAAAAATAACAACAGACCTAACAATGTCGAAAAAGCCCACGCGGTCTCTATGTACCAGTGAAGTTTTTCGTGTGGCGATTCCTCCACCAAATTGATGGCGTCGAGACTACAAATTGCCTCGATGTTGGGCAAGATACATGTGCTTATCATTAAAGCTAGCATGTGTACAGCCACAAGAAGAGTCGTGATTACAGCAAAAGCTACCAGCATAGCAGAGGGAATAGTGGTGGGCGTTTGGAGCTGTACTTCCACCATAGCGACCATCGCAAAGCCGGAGAGCAAAGCTGATGTTTTGCTCGATGCCTTCAGCTTTGCTCTGCTTAATTGTAATTTGCGCCATGACAAGTAACGTGGTGTGTGCAGTTCGTCGCCCATTTGGCTCATACTCCGTCTCTGTTACAAAATCAAAATAAAAGTTAATAAATAACTACAATTAACAGCTTCGAAAAAATAAGTTAATCAAATAGGTATAATAATACAAACAGGAGTATTAGATACGCATTAAAAAAATTCTGTACTAGTCGCCTAGATCTCTTCAATCTATCGTTAGTATCTACATGTACAAATAAAATAATAGCTAGATTTTAATCAATTTCTTTTAGTTTTACTCCTTTAACGCTTGGCCCTTATATCTAATAAAAATTTTGACGATATTCCTGTTTAATATCAAATGACTAAAGTTTTCATGCATGCATAACGGCGTTGTTAAAGGCATCCACTGTCGCAACTATGCGTGTTCACTACTCCGGGTGTAATGCAGTGTGTTGGAGAGAAAGAAAATTCTTTGTACTTCTGCCTCATCGTAAAGTAAGCGACGGCATAATTTGCACGAGCGACCTGGTGCTGTAAGGTTCTGTTTCGAAATAAACCATGCGGACCAAGTCACGGTAATTAGCTAGTTTATTGCGAATACGTTGACTCAAAGTGGTCAATAAATTCCACTATAGTGATGATCATCATAAGGTCGTCAGTCCTAAGACTGATTGGACACGCACCTCGACTCGTTCCTATCCTAAGCTAATCTTCGCATTTCCCTAAAACTAGAACATCCCATATCCTTAACTATTTGTGAACAGTAATCTAATATAGGTCTATATCTACTTCTCTTAACTCCTGTTTCTGCCTCTAATATGTCTCTGACTAGACCTTCATGCCTGAGAAGGTGTCTTACCAACCTTACTCGCCTATTTCTTATTGACTTCCATAGCGTCTCTCCTATTTTTTCTAATACCTCTTCATTTCTAACCTTCTCTATCCACGGTCTCCTCATCATTAGCCTGTAACACCACATTTCGAACGCTTCTAACCTTTTATTTTCCGCCCCGCCCATCATCTATGTTTTGCACCCGTACAGCGCCGCGCTCCAAACATACACCTTTGACAACCTTTTTCGAATTTCTAAATTAACCGTTGGCGAGCATAGAAGTGACTTCTTTTTATTGAAGGTGACTCGACCCTGCGCTATCCCTTGCTTTATATCCCTACAACTCCTTCCGTCCTGACTTATCTGACTTCCTAGATACCTAAAATCAGTCACTTCTTCTAATCTTTCATCTCCTATTTTTATATTCGCCCTTTCCCTACTTTTTCTTCCCTTGCATACCAGTATTTTGGTTTTACTTTTATTTATTTTCATACAATACTGTTTTGTCAATACCGCTTCAATTTTATTTAAAGCTATCTCTAACTCCTCCTTGCTAGATACTAATACTGCTATATCATCTGCAAATCTAGGCGCATACTAATCTTTTGCCTCTCTATGTCTATCCCTACAGTTGATAGTGATATTCGAAGAAAAAAGCAACTTTAAAGTTTAATACTTCAAAATGAAAAGTGGCAAATGAAGCCTGTAATTTATCTTTGAATAGCTTTCTAACAATATCCCACACGCTGAGGTAAACGATAAAAAAGTTGTTTAAATTCTTTAATCTCTATAAACTCAGTATATGAGACATCGTAAAGCAAAAAAGTAAAAACTACCTACGTGCAAAACTTCACTTATATATTTATATACAAGTTTGAAATTATAGAAAACCAGGTGCAAGATAAGAACGAATAAAGAGCAGACACAAACGAAATTGCAAATATTCCGTTTGATGTTACAATGCCGTTTAGAATTTAAAATTGCTTGTATGATTATTTCCTAACTGAAAATGTTAAACATAGATTGTTAAACAAATTATGTATTATCAACAACTGTTTTGATAATCTTTTTTTTCGTTAAAAAAAATGTAACACTATTGTGGTTTCTTACGTTTGGTATAATAAATATAAAGGTGCAGCATATGAATTTATAAACATATAGACGGACCTACAGACAACGAAATTATATTATTAGACACTATTTTCGGAGATAATCGCACTTGATTGTTTATTCTTTATTATTCGTTTATTTCAGATGATACGTATGTGAAAGACATCATTAATAAAATTATGTAATTACAGCAATTTTTCTTTTGTATGTTACAAATAGAATTATATTTATTTCAATTTTGAATATTCTTCTAATCTCCAAAAAATCGCCCACTTAGAAAACGAAATATTATCACTTAATAAAGAACGTTAGTCTTGGTCAGCAATTTATCGAAATCGCTTGAAGTAGATTGCAATTTCAAACTTATTAACTCTCATCAACACATCATACATAAATAGGTAGGTATTTTTGATTGATTGAATCATTTAAATCATTATCATTTGAGCAGCTAATGTATGTGTACAAACTGACAAATTTATTAATCGAATAACATAAATCCTTATTGTGTTGAACTATTTAAATCTGACATTTGGTATATAAATTTGTAATTGAGCGCAACTGAATAATTAAATTTCTTCCGACAAAATTAATCCATCAGTAGTATATTCTAAATTATTTTGAGTTATTATGTATAGTAATTTTAATTTTTAAGTATTACATAAAAATACACAAACAATAGATTGCACGTTTAACATCAGTAAATATTGCAATAAACGCTAAAAATAAATGTCAGATGGTATTCTTGCAACAACAAAGTTGTTGTTTTATTGCAGTGGCAATGAATATACTGCACGAAAATGGTCGCCCCAAACAAAACTTCAGACATTTGAAATATAAATACAATTAATTTAAATATACCTATATTTCGCATTTTTCAATTTCAGATTAAAAAAAATAAACCGAGTGAAATTTTGTCTAGTTTAACATGAAATGTTTATAAAAAAAACTGCACTCATTTACACATTTATTCCTTTGGAAGAGATAAAAAACGCAAAAATTGTCCAAATTTGATGAAACATGAATACAGTTCTAGCAAATTTGTTAATTTTTTTTGTGTATTGCGACATATTCTCGAAAATAGCCACTTACAATTAAGTAAGTTTATTACAATTAGTTCAAAGTGTACATATTTTTGTTTTTAAGTGGAAAACATATCCAAAAGCATTTTCCAACTTCTTTAGTTTCTGAAATTTTTAGTTTTATGTGGAATATCTCCAGAAGCATGTCTCTACCTCTTTAATATATAAAACTTTTACTTTTAAGTGTAATTCTTCAGAAACATGTCCTTACCTCTTTAATATTTAATACTTTTACCATTTATGTGAAATATATCCAGAAATATGTCCCTACCTCTTTAATCTTAAAGTGTTAGTTTTTATGTGGAATATCGTTATAAACATGTCCCTCCTTATTACTTATTTATTTGTTCCTTATAAACCAAAACATTCTCACTTTGTATTGTACAAAATGTTTTAGACATTACCTAACAAGTAACTACAAACTACAAAAATTTCCTTACCTCCATTGTATTGTCCCGGTTAGAAATAAAGCAGCAAAGAAACAGTAATTTGTGCAGTTATTGCAAGAAAGTTTTTTTTTTCAGTCAGGTAATATTTATAATCAGAAGTTTTATAGGTACTAAAGAAAGTATTTTTAAATTACCTTAGAATATTTGTTGCCGTGTGGTCGGTGAAGCAATTGCCATGTACTATCACATGTGAGATTGCCCTTTCCAGTATTCTTGTTTGATGCTAAACCTAAACTACTGGTTGACCACACAGACATTGGCCTCTAGTGTGTACCTAAGTAAAACAAAACATATTAGTATTATAATAATTAGAACTTATAACAATGTAGTTACTAACTAAATATTTTTAAACTCACATCACATCATTTTTGTCTTACAACAAATTAGTTAATAGATACCACACAGAAATGTATGTATACATATAAATAGTAATTAAAATTTATACGGTTCCTGAGTGACTTTAATAATACAAACAATAGTTTCCAGTAAAACAAGCGTAACAATTCAAGGATGTATAATGAAAGCACAATTGGACAAAATAGTTAAAATCTACACATATAGACTATAATTCAAATCAACTGACAGGCAAATTACCATAGTTTTAAAGAGAAACATAATGATATGCTGGGTGCTCCTAATAAACCAATTTATTATTACATAAACTTTTTTGCGATGTTGACGTTTCCTTTCCATAACAAAACAGCATTATAGATTATAAACCAATCAATCAATCAACTGGTGTACATAAAGTAAAATATAATAAAATTAAAACAGACAAAAACACTTATTAACAAATAGATAATTAAATTTGGCTAATGCAGATCGTTCTTCAAGAAGTAATTAGGAATAATGATTTCAGACAGAATTACTTATAAAACCTACAATAAGCTTGATGCTCCAATAAAGCAATTAATTATCATTGTATATATAATTATTTTGGAATGTTTGTTTTCATTTAATTTACTGTAGTTTGTAACCAATTCTCATTTTTTAGCAACAGATAAAAGGAACTTGAAATAAAAAAGAAAAATGAACTCAATTACTTACATAGCCCTATATTCAACCAATATAATTTTAAATTTAATTCAATTAAAGCTTTTCTCTTTACTCAGTACTACTAGTTACAATGCTTAACGCAATTTAAGCACTAATCTGATCGTGAATTATAGTTACATACCTATTTAATTTTTTTAGTATGTGCGCTTTAAATCAAATATAACACAGAATCTATTTACTGACACATACAAGTATACTAATATTTATAAATAAATGTAATATTAGTTAAGTCATAATTACTTTTACAACCATGCGTATGTACAAAAATTGTGTACATAATTTTTAGTACGTGTTATACGTGTTCTTAAAGTTCACATTAATGTTACTTTCATACTGCATTTATCATTACTACATACTATTCTAATTAAAAGTTATTACCACATTTTCTGTTACTTTTAACGTGCAAATACGCCATACAACAATAACAGCCACTGGCAGTTGCACCTGGACACACTGTACGTTTATTTGATCGTCTGTTGTATACAAAATTAGGTAATATTTGGATAATAATAACTCGATTATGCACCACGTCTAATTACCGTACCCGATACCGTTTGATCTTTGGAACCACTTGTTTTGACGTTTTAAGGTATCATTCTTAACATACATAATATTCATAACATCACATTAAAATCATTTTGCTTTTAGTGCCATCTGCACTTAAGAATTTGTAACCATCAGAATACATAACGGTAAATTGTGTTACATTTTTAGTATACTACAATTACTCAATAATAATACAATAGAATCATTAAAATGATCTGTAATCACTAGTTAGTCTCATCTCAACAGTAATCATTTATAATTTCAATTTTAATTTTGGTACATTTTTATCTTCTCGCGAAATTTTAACATAAACACATAAAGAAAACAAATAAATATAACATATTGTGCCTATTAAACACTTATTAATAATATTCGTTACCTACTGTAGTGTAAATTTAAAAAAACAAAACCTTAACAATTCAGTTAATAAAATTCTGTAGTTTTACTTATTAATAATATTCGTTACCTACTGTAGTGTAAATTTAAAAAAACAAAACCTTAACAATTCAGTTAATAAAATTCTGTAGTTTTACAAATTAATATTACTCAAAAATTAGGAATGTTCAGTAGGAAAAATGACCACTAATACCTGTATAGGAATACCTGTCTAGGTGCGAAAGGTAGGTATGAACCAGTATGAACGAGAAAGTTGAATGTTTGCGATAAAATACATTTATTATGTGTATACATTTGTACATACATGTACAACAGCGTTATTGAAGTACCGTCAATTTGTTTATTAATTACGAATTAATTAACTGTTACATTGTAAGTAAAAGTAGCAATATGTTTGATATAGTTATTTTAAATGGGTACTTTATGATTTTTATTTAAATATTATATTTATTAAACTTATTTAACTTTTACATACCCACTAAACTGATGAATGATGATAATTGTTAATATTATTGTGTTTAATATTTTAAACTTGTGCACGTCTTTAGTCAAACAAAGAAAAAAGTATCAGGACACCACTTTTTACAGACCTCACCGATTCATTTACGAAATACATAATATGTAAATTGAACATGCATGTGTTTTAAAGTTAACAATATTCATTTGAATAACTGCACCAAAAACCGAACAGGAGTGAAATGAACTGCAATGGTCCACTTTTCCGACTCCCACGCGTTTAAAGAAATTAGGTACCTAACAAAAAATTTTATGAGTGAAGAATAGGTACAAATTTTAATTAACCTTTTACCATACGAACAAATTTTTAAAACAGAATAATAAAAGCTGTTTTATCATTTGAATCATGAGTTTTTTCCAATATTTCAAGATTGTTNACTGGAAAATACTAAAATTGGCGGTTTTTAGTTAAGAATTTTTATTAAAAAATCACAATTTTTATAAGACAAATATTAAACAATTTAAAAACAATAAACTTGTAATTTCCATAAATTTATTTTTACACTTTACACGTGTTTCACCACTTTGTTAATTTGTAACTTTCGAAGAAGCCACAAAATGGCGAAAAACGTGTAAAGTTTGATGAGTAAATTTTTTGTTTTTTAATACGAATTTCCATCAAGTAAAAATAAATTCGATTAATCTTTTTAATTTACTTTTAATTATATCTTTGAGAAATCGAAAGAATGGTAGTAAAATAGTGTTAACCACAGGTGAAGTGTTAATTTGAAACAATTTTACCACCTATCTTGTCTAAAGGTTCGTACAACAAACAATTCATTTTTCTACCTCTATTTGTAAGAAAACACGGTATTTAACAACGAAAGGGTCTTCTCCTCATTTTTTAACGCTATTTAATTTATGAATGATTCTTTTGGATATGTTCCTTTTTTTTCATTTTCACTCTTCTTATGCTCTTTTTACAATGGAACATTAATTTTATGATTATCTTTGAAACTTTACGAAAATGTACTCTTAGCCACGTTGTCAGCCGGTCAAAAATATTATCTATGGTCAAAAATGATCAAAACAGTTAAAAGGATATGTTCTTAAAAAGTTAGGTTAATTTCAATCCAACATTTTATTGTTTTCTTCCTTTTTTTATTAAAATTATTAATAAAACAATTTAAATCTTACAGATTATCATAGTCTATGATGAAAGTATATACAATCAAAAAGTAAAAGAAGGATCTGAAAACTCGAAATAGAATGGATTTAGTTTACCGAAAAGTTTTCACTAAATTAACAACGGATGTATTCAAAAGAGGTTTCCAAATACGATTTTATCCGCGTTGGCAACATAGGACTCCACGACGAGTCTATTCAGCAGATGAATATGCCGAAATTGAGTTACAAGAAGTCATAAAAAGTAAACAAATAGAAATAGAAAAGCCAACAAAATTTTCATTTTCCAACCGAGAAGATAGTAAAAAAGATCATAGTGAAGACACATTAAACTTAAACTCACAAAATAAACAGAAAAAGAAAATTAATAGACCCAAACAAGTGATAAAAGAGACAACTACAACAGATATGTTGAGTACTTCAATTGATGCTGAAGGCAATTTTATTTATAGCAAAGCAAAAAATAATGATCCTCAAGTAAGGTAATTTTTTATTAAATAGGTTTAATATCAAATAATAACCAAGAAAAATCCAATTTTAGCTCTATTTTGACCACAGTCAAATCACACAAGCACAAGAAAAAAGAAGGTCTATCTCTTTTAGAAGGCAAGAGAATGATAGTGGAAGCTCTGAAAGCTAACTGCTCACTTAAATATCTACTTTTTAGTAGAACAAAAGATGTAGAATGTATAAAAAAATATTTACCAAAATTTGGAGTAAAAATTCTAAAGGTGCCCTATAGAGAAATGCAGATGTGGTCTGATTTAGTTACCACTCCAGGAATTATGGGTATGTTTTATTATTAGGAATCACTGATTTTGATTAAAAATACTTACTACAACTATAAATACTACTTACATTTTTATTTTAGGGATTATTAAGCTGCCAAAAGTGGATGAATACAATTCTCCCTCAAACTCTTTACCACTGACAATTATTTGCGATAATATAAGAGAACCTGGTAATTTAGGGGCCACTTTAAGAATAGCAGCTGGAGTAGGTGCAGAAAAAGTTATATTAACTAAAGGTATAATGTTCATAAACTTTTATATTAGTGTTCATATCTACCAATTGGAAAAACCTCTATCTGTAGTTACCCAGACGATTTTTTTTTAATTTAAAAGAAATTATAAACTGTAATAATTACAGACGATGATAATTGTTAATATTATTGTGTTTAATATTTTAAACTTGTGCACGTCTTTAGTCAAACAAAGAAAAAAGTATCAGGACACCACTTTTTACAGACCTCACCGATTCATTTACGAAATACATAATATGTAAATTGAACATGCATGTGTTTTAAAGTTAACAATATTCATTTGAATAACTGCACCAAAAACCGAACAGGAGTGAAATGAACTGCAATGGTCCACTTTTCCGACTCCCACGCGTTTAAAGAAATTAGGTACCTAACAAAAAATTTTATGAGTGAAGAATAGGTACAAATTTTAATTAACCTTTTACCATACGAACAAATTTTTAAAACAGAATAATAAAAGCTGTTTTATCATNATTTCTTTGTTTTGAAGTTTAACAGGGATACTTATCATTTAATTATTAAAAAATCGTCTATTAATCAATAAATAAAAAAGGAGACTTACTGTGGTTATAACTAAAATTTTTCATTGGGGGACACATGTTTCGCCCACTTCTGATAATGTGAAGTGGCGAAACACGTGACCTCATTTCGCAAAAAAAATTTAATGGTATGCAAGATGAGTCTATTTATTCATTTATCAGTGTCAAGTTTTTACTTTGTCTATTGTTTTGTTTTAACTGAATTATATTTAAGGATTAAAGAATTTATATTTAAGGATGTGTTGATCTGTGGGAGACAAAAGTTCTAAGAAGTTCCATGGGAGCACACTTTAAACTTCAAATACACTCGAAAATGGATTGGCCTAGTATTACAAAAATTTTAGACAGCAGCTCTCATTTATTAATTGCAGATAATCATATAGTTACAGAAGCAGAACATTTTGGAAAAGTAAATAAAGCCGATGAATTAAAAGAAATAATTCAATCTATTCCGTTGCTGCCTTATTATAATTTAGATTTTTCAAAAATGAATCCATTAGTTCTTGTAATAGGGGGTGAAACTGAAGGTATAAGTGAGGAATCATTTAAGGCTGCTGTTAAGTATAAAGGAGTTCGGCTTAATATACCTTTAAAAAATGATGTAGAAAGTTTGAACACAGGTTCAGCTTTGTCTGTTATAGCTTTTGAAATTTTGAAGCAATTTGAATGTAAAACAGATGATTTTAGTAAATTAGAAAAGCTTGTTGTTTAAATATGACATAAAAAATCAATAAATTGAGTTAGAATATTGTTTATTGATTTGTATTTATGTTTTTTTTCGAATTTAAATTTAATTTCTGAAATGAAATTTTCTGGGGTGTCTTAGATTGAAAAATATACAAGAACAAACTGATGAATTTTTTAAACGAACTGAAAAACCAAAGTTTAGTAAAGAAATAAGAAAAAATAACTGCAGCTTCAACTTTTATTTATTGTGCATAAAAATTTATCTTAACAATAAAAAAATCATAATGTAAATAAATTAAATTCTGCCAAATAATTTTTTTATTTCTTTTTATTTTATAATAAGCACAACGTACACGAGGGTAAACACATTAATGTTTGATGAGTTTTTTAGTGAGGAAGGGGAGTTAAGTTTTTTTGCTGATAAAGAAAATTTACGTAAGATAGTTTGGATCATAGATTATAGATATACAAATGTTACCCTTTGTATGTTTGTATATCTATTTGCATAACCTTCATTTAAAGTAATAATAAATATCTTCTCTATAGTCGAAGTTATTTGCATGCGCGCCCTCTATAGAAGTGTTTATAATTAATACCATATAGTTAGGTAAGTATTATATTCTTAAATTAAATTAAAACCATGACATTATTTTACTGTACTTACCTGGTTTAAATTGAAACAGTGCGTTCAACAATATTGGAAATTGTTATTAAAAGCCTGTTACGACTGCAACTGAGACAGAATATTTTGACATATATATGACATAACTAAATTCAGAGTTCTTCCGTTGTCCCATTAGCGTTATCCTTTGTAGTTGCCGTGGTTTGTCTATGTGCCTTCGTTTACATTTGTGAAAATGGCGCTTATATGTGCAAGTAAGTTCAGAAATATTATTTGTCGTAAATAAAATATAATTTATTTCATTTCGCCTTATATGCTTAAGGAAGTTTCGTCTTTTTCTTTTTGTAATATTATATTTTCCTGTCATGTAACTGATTACTATAATCAAATGACGGTATAGATACCGGCTATAACCTATATGTTTAATAAAATTAATTGTTTGCAGTTTCTAACGAAGTGCCAGAACATCCAGTCGTTTCTCCTTCGTCCGGAGCGATTTTTGAAAAGAGAATAATTGAAAAATATATACTGGAAAATGGTATAGACCCCATTAGTGGAAAAGAATTAAGCACTGATGAATTAATTGAAATCAAAAGTAAGACTATATACTAGATAATTACCTCATCTATACAATATTGTTTTTTAGCACCACCTATTGTTAAACCTAAACCTCCAAGTGCTACTAGTATTCCTGCAACGTTGAAACTGTTACAAGATGAATGGGATGCAGTTATGCTATACAGTTTTACACAAAGACAACAGCTTCAAACAGCTAGACAAGAACTTAGTCATGCACTTTATCAACATGATGCAGCCTGTAGAGTTATTGCAAGGCTTAATAAAGAAGTTACTGCTGCTAGAGAAGCTTTGGCTACTCTTAAACCACAAGCAGGAATTACTCAAGTTCCTCAGCCTGTAAATATTTATATTTTTACATATTGTTTAATAAATTGTACTCTGGTGAGATATTTACATTTACTTTATAATTTGTTTCTAGGCTGTTGCTGCAGAAGCTGCTGGTGTAGCAAATCAACCAACAGAACAAGCTGGTATGAGTGCAGAAGTTATTCAAAAATTGCAAGACAAGGCAACTGTTTTAACACAAGAGAGAAAAAAACGAGGAAGAACAGTGCCAGAGGAACTTACCTCTCAAGATGATTTAAAATCATTTAGAACAGTTGCATCTCATCCGGTGAGTTTATATTTAATATTCTTAAAATATTTTGTACTCTCTAAGTTATAATTAAATTGTCAACATTACCAATTTCATATAACTGTTTATGTTAATATAAAATGAAAAATTGGATAGATGGTGTAAAATTTTTAGGGGCTGCATTCTGCAAGTATCCCTGGGATTTTGGCTCTTGATATTCATGCATCAGATACAAGCAAAATTTTAACTGGAGGAAATGATAGAAATGCTACAGTGTTTAATAAAGATACAGAACAGGTTATTGCAATTTTGAAAGGACACACTAAGAAAGTTAGTCGTGTAATATATCATCCTGATGAAGATTTAGTTATAACAGGTAAAGTACTTTTAATTTAAAATACAAGGTTCTTTTATAAGTGAATAATAGAACTTGGTTATAGCGTCACTTGAGGGACTAATAATATTTTGATGTATTAACCAAGTATTATTATTAAAAATAGTTTACATGCTATGAATTTATAATACAAACTGAACAATTTGTCGTTTTTAACCGAGATTTTTAGCGGTAGTTTGAATGGTAGATTTGTGGATCTATTAAAAATTAACGTTACATTATTGTTTTTATTATAATCGATGTTAAAACCAAGTTCTATTATAAGCTATACCTGTACTGGATAGGTTTTTTTAGAAACATTTCGAACCATTAAAAATATGGGCTATCGTTCGATTTTTGAGTAATTGTTTTGAAAAATAATTCTTAATTCGTAGGTATATTACGCTACTTTAACGTTATTGATATTTTAGCATCTCCTGACACAACAATTCGTATTTGGAATGTGCCTACGTCTCAGACAACATTACTTCTTCGGGGTCATGATGGACCAGTAACAGGCCTTTCTCTTCATCCAACTGGTGATTATATTTTATCGACATCCGAAGATCAACATTGGGCATTTTCTGACATTAGAACCGGTCGATTATTAACAAAAGTTGCAGATCAAGCAAACGTAGCACTTACGACGGCTCAGTTCCATCCTGATGGATTAATTTTTGGTACTGGCACTGCTGATTCTCAAGTAAAAATTTGGGATTTGAAGGAGCAAAGCAACGTTGCGAACTTCACAGGTTTGAGTCTTAATTTTAATATCTGCAAGAGCTTTTAAAAACTTTAACTATTTTCGTTTGTAAAAAAAATATCGCTATTTTGTACTATTATGCAAAAATACAACGAAATATGCACTATGAAAAATAGTACAAGATAGTAAGATATGCTTAATGTACAACGGTTCATAAAATGTAAAATTTAATGATAATGACAATTGAGCAGTTATATTGAAGACTTTTACATATTTTTGTTTAACTTGTTCACCGTATTATTTTTTTTCCCTTTTTGTATACTCCCTTTTTTCTCAAGCAGTAGACGACTTATTAAGCAAAGTTAAGTAAGAATAGCGCGTAACGGGAATCGCAATAAAATTGAAGCACTTGAGTGTTGCCGTAAATGTTTATAATTCGAGGGTTTATTTGTAATTGGTAACCCTTCAAGGATTTTATTTTTAATTGTCAGTGGTTTCTTACTATTTACATTATTGTTTTGTTTACAATTTTTTCAATGTGGTGATACCATTTAGGTAGCAACTGATTATTATACCATACTGTTTTTATTTGTACATATATTGTTTCTGTTTACTAAATAAAGATTGAAAAATATTAAATGTGAAAAGAGTAATTAAGTACATTTTAAATATCAATAAACATAAAAAATATGTAAATGTTTTATAAACTTTAATATTTTACAATGCAAGTTTTAAAAAAAATTAAATATCTGTCTTCTACACATTGAATTAAAATTCTTTAATTTTCTAGGTCATTCTGGCGCTATTACAAGCATATCGTTTTCCGAAAATGGGTATTATTTGGCAACGGCAGCCGACGATGCATGTGTGAAACTGTGGGATTTACGAAAATTGAAAAATTTTAAGACGTTACAATTGGAAGAAGGTTATCAAATTAAAGATTTATGTTTTGACCAAAGTGGTACATACCTAGCAATCGCGGGAAGTGATATAAGGTAAGAGAAAAAATTAACATAAGTATAGCAATTTTTAGGAAAGTTATTTTAAAACTGTATTCTTTAAAATTAGTTTAAAAATGTACTCTTTTATTAATTGTGTTATACAATCGATAAAAGCTATAACCATTGGTTTTTCAATTTATATGCTTTGTTTATATTGTATTACTGTATTTCCTATTTCTGTTTAAATTTCAGAATTTATCTCTGTAAGCAATGGCAAGAATTAAAGGTATTTAACGATCATACAGCGGCTGCAACGGGAGTTAGATTCGGCAAACACGCTCATTTCATAGCGTCTACGTCAATGGATAGAACGCTGAAAATCTACGGTCTTCAATAGTTTCAATTCAGTCACATTGATTGTTTATCATTATTAAACTTAAATTAGTCTCTATAGGAAGTGAAATAACAAACTGTTTTTGTGAATGTATGGATATTTTGAGAATTAGTTAAGTTATTGGATAAACCTAAATGTTTAGTGCGTCGAGTTTTGTACAATAAACAATTTAGTTTGTTTAATATCTAGTTTAAATTATTACTTTTTAAAAATATGTAAAGTTTGAAAATAAAAACAATACGTTGAAAGGAGAGGACCGATTCAAATAGGAAAATAATAAATTTCCTTGTAATGTTCACATAATTTAAATAATGACCGGATCAATTTAGTAGATAATTAAGAAGCAAGCTAATTAAAAACTCACTGGCAATATAAAGCATTTGATATGTACAATCAACCCTACTTAACATTCCTGTTACTGTATTAATAAGCAAAATCTACAATAAAAAAAACAATTAAAATTTTTCAATTAATATGAAGAATTTAAAGTTAAAGATTTAGTTAAATTAGTTAATATATATTTAGAAATAAAGGAGATGAAATAAATGAACAGAACAGTTAGGATTTATTCTTGTGTTTCATAAAGGATTGAACCTGACAAAGTTGTGTAAACATGTGTGAATAATAAAAATATTAGTTTTACTTTCAGTATATATTTCAGCCTTTTTGAATACTTGTAAAAAAGAATGAAAGGTAATAAGATAATTCAAGTAAAGGTATCGATTAAATGTAAGTTTTGATATATCATGATAATAATTAACAACAAATGACAGAAATTTACAAAAATCACATTTATTATTTACGGACATTATTAACTTACTCCTAAATATATATGGCTGAAATGATCAAGTTAGTAATGTGTCATCTAATTCTTCTTCTTTTCCTTCTGCATGGTGCATAATTTTTCTAAGCACTTTACTTATTACATCAGATAATGATTCTCGGGCCCCAACGTCAAGTACATTCAAATATTTCTTTGAAAAAAAGTATAAAAATTATTAAGACAGTTAATTTTTGGCCTTTAATCGATAAAAGTTAATTTCCATAATGACTTTTGAGTGAAGCAAACTAAACAGCTTTACAATATTGTTTCACTCCACAGATTCACATCAGACGTTTCTGAAGATGTCTCTGTGTGAAACAATATTTTAGAGCGCTGTCTTATCAGATTAATTTCAGAAAGTATATGTTAATGTCATCAGCGAAGATTAGAATTTCAGTATACCTTAAATTTTTGATAACATAATTTATACGTAAACACCCATTCATATAGCAATTTCAAATCTGTTTGCTATAATATATTTCGATAACATTATTTTGATGTAAACTTTTATTCATGTAGCAATTTAAAATCTGCTTGTTAAAATACAGATGTAAACAAATACGGTACACTTACCTGATGTGTTTCATCGTCTTCTTTTAATCGAAGAACCGCAATAAGTGCTATTTCTGAATTTGCTTTGACAAATACGTTCTTTTCTTTAGTTCCGTTAACTAATGCGGGTAACAATAGTTTCAGAAGTTCCGGGACCATTTTTTCAGGCGGCACCCTTCTTGCCAAATGAATACAAATTTTCGCCAATAATTGCTTCACGTCGTTACTATTATTGTTCATAGTCTAGTAAGGTAAAAATTTTGGAAATTAACCCATATTTTACAATAATATATACAAGGTGTAACTAAAATAAGTGCGGAGTTTGCAGGAGATTATAAGGCACTATAAAACAAGAAAGTTGTGTAAATGTTTGTAGGCCCCAAAAATTTCTCCGTTTCTAAGGAAAACCTTATAAATTTAAAGGCAAATGTTCTGCGAATCACGTAGAAAAATATCGATAGGGTGGCGAATTTTAAAAAACCAGTTGTTGCATCTCGATAATTTACAGTGAGCGCAGCCTTACAGCAAACTAATTTTTAGCCTCGAATAGATTTATGTCAGTGGTTTCGGCGAAAAAATGCTTCATTAGACGCATTATGGTGACTTCTTTGTATGGAGTTGTATGAAACAGCGCGTGTATCACACTTCAGTGCACCACCCTACCGATGTACAGGAACGTGTAAAGTACGTTACAAATGAAATTTGCTAAATGCCTGATACTTTTTGGCGAATCAGAAATAATTTTGTATGACGTCTTTTTAGCACACAGTTCCACTTTTAAACAATTTTTGTAGTGTGCTTATGTGTGTGTGTTGACCGGCGTTTTTATTGTTTTATTGTCGCCTAACGACGCTGTTATATTCACCATGCGATTGCTTATTCCATCTAGCTAACACGCTTTAAAGCTCTGTACTTATTTCCGTTCACCCTATATAACTCGAAATCAGAGAATAAAAAAAATATGTGTACTACTTTAAAATCTCTTACCTTAACAAAGGGTGTCAATAGAGCTACGGGTAGTGGCTCATTATTGAGTAAAACGTACTCTAATAGATAACCACAGGATCGGATTGCTGTCTGGGTGATAGGAACTCTGTCACTTGAAAGTTGACTCAAGATAGTTTTTGTTAGTCTTAGCTGATATTGTTCGTCCCATAAAAGAGCAGGAGATTCTTTAAGAACCACAGAAAGGGCTGCCCCTCTTCCTTGTCTTAAAGTCCAGTCAGCTGAAGTATCATCATCTAAGAATTAACAAAGACAAATCAATTTTCAGTTATTATTTAATTTTTACTTTTTTTCAAAGACAAATTAAATAAAGAATTAACTGAATGTTTTTATGTAATATAACAATGAAAGATCTTAAGTAACTTAGTTACTCTTATTATTGGTAAAAATATGTTTGAGTGTGTTAGAAAGCCAAGATTTCTCCAGAAGGATATCAAAAGACTTAATGCAGCTTTAGCGTTGTAAATAAATCCCCACCTTTCTTATTTTAAATTATTAAACAATTATCACTTATGGCTATTTTTATCAGAAGTCCTACATCTAAACAATCTTTTTAGGTGATAAATTTGGAAAATTTTGGCTTATTTTCAAAACAATTACCTAAATACCATAAGTTTCAGTAAAACTTACTTAAAATATGTTCAGTTATTGTTGTGTCTAGTTGAGGTGGTGGTAACCATTTGCAAAGGGCACCTAAACAACCAGCAGCAACGTTTCTTGTCACCTCTTCAGGATGGTTTAGTAAACTAATAAGTGTCGAATGAATTTGTTTCCTGACGGGTTCGGACATTTTGTCTCCTGCAGGGCTTATAATTCCTCTCAAAGCATGAAGGGTGGTTTCTCTGAATAATAAAAAAACATTAATTGTGAATTTAATCAAAAAATTTATAATCCCTAAAAGTACTGTATTATTAGTATTAAGTATGTGTATATTCTGTGCTAATTCTGAGGCGGTGAGTGGGCCAAAACCCCCTCATCACGTTCATGTAAATTTCTCAAATAAATAAATAAATATAATAAATTTGCATGACGTATATTCAGGCGCGGATACAAAATTTAAACATTTAAATAATGTTCTGTTTGACTGTAAACTAAATTTAATAAGTATAAAATAAATGTACAAAAAGTGATAATAATAGGCAACAACGAATTTCAAAGCAAAAATTTAACTAACTCAAATCTAAAAATCTGAAGTCCAAAGTAATCTATTCTATTACTCCTGGTCACTATGAATTTTTCGAAAGATGAAAACGACCTTTCCGCTGATGCCAATTGTAAACGCACTCATTTTGCTAACGAGATACGAGTAGATAGAGCTGCCTAAAAAATTACGTAGATGTGGGGGGGGGGCAATTTCACCCAATGTCCCGGCTGTATCCGCGCCTGCGTATATTCTTAAACTTAAGTACATGGTTCCTTCTTACCGAACTGATGAATCGTCTGTGTTTTTTATAGTGTTGTGCAATTCAGTAAACAAGGGATCAGGCCTTTGATGGATTACAATCAAATAGCTAAGCGCTTGTGCCGCCTTCAGTCTCACAGTTCTATTTGGGTCGTTTAGTGCTTTAATGAAGGTTGTTTGAAGTTGTGGAAGAAATTGTTTCAGCATTATTCCAACCTAAAGTTATAGTTTTGAAATAGAATTAATCTTAATAGTAATAACTTAGAAACTGAGTATAGTAACCCTTTAAGTAAATTAAACATAACATCTATTTAACTATTTATAAAATTCTCAGAAAAGTATAAAATTGTAAAGTGCTACAACTAATTGACAATGGATGGTTAAATAATCTAAATGTACTAATTCTAAGTGAATAATAAAAAAGACACAGTTAACTATTGTCTTTAGCAAAAGAAAGTACTCATACAAGTTTATAAAATAAACTTTCTTGAAGAATTAATACACCAATCTAATATACAACTTACCTAAATATAATACAGTATGAATGTGTCATATTTAGTTGTTGATTTGTTAAAACTATTAATTTTAAAAAAATACTCGCTTTGTTGTATAATTCATTAAAGAAACCCTTATATATTATTAAAAAGTTTACCTTTGCCAAAAGAGTGGCTAACGTCTCCAAAACGGCCGATTTTACATTTGAGCTAAATCGATCGCCAAGAATCCTAATGAGGGGTCCAGTAATTGCTACCACACTCGGTTGTAGAGCAGCAGCACTAGTTAACCGGATAACTTCACCTAATCCTTGGGCTGCTTGTTCTTTTTCGTCGCCATCGCCGTTCAAAATGGCTTCACGGAAAATTGGCAAAATAGGGGCGATTCCTTTTGGTAAGCAAAAGCCAGGTAGTAACAAATCTGTACCGATTCCTTTTATATCTGACAACGCATACCGGACGGCTTGGCGAACATCCGAAACGTAAGCTGCCTGCTGCTTTGGTTCCAGATTCTAATAATTAAAATCAATGAAATTTATTATTCTGGGAGCAATTTACAAAATTAATAACAAAATCATTTTATTGTATTTAATAAACAATTTAACAGCTATCATGAAATAATACACATTCAATGTACCTAAACCATTCTTAGTGTCGCGTTTTGGCGTTTCTGATATTTAGAGTGATACTAAATTATTAAACGTATTACGTTTAGATACATTCCCCTCTCTTTGCAATTATTTTACCTTCAGAAATCGTCTTTATGAATGAATAAATGAATACTCTTTTGAGGTGAAAAACTGAGTTGTCCTTATTGTTAATCAACTTTATTATATAAACTTTTATAAGGAACATCGTTAAATCATTAACTATTCCATTATTTTCCTTATTAAACACAATAATTGATGTGATATATCCTACCTTAGTGATTGCATTTAGTGCTTCCCACGCCATCTGCAGAACGTCCTTGTCATTATCAGTACACAAGTGTATAAGACCACGCAATAACTGTGGAACATGGGCGATATATTGCGCTCGGGAATTTGCACAGAAAGCACACAAGAGCGCCGCAGCTGCTCGTCGTTGATCAGTATTATCAGTACGGGTGTTTTCTAATAAAGTATCCACAACCGTTCTTATTCCTGTTTCGT